TGCTGCGGGAGGGGCCGCGTGAAGCGTTAGCAGAAAGGGCCCGCAACGCTGCTAGGGCTTCTCTTTCTGTTTATTGACAGTGCAGCCGCAGGGCACGTTTGTCCTCCGGCGGAGCCCGCGACATTCCTGACGGAACAGAAAGATACGAAAGAAGACACACCTTTTTTTTTTTTTTTCCAAAATATAACTTTAATATATATATGCATATATACACACACACCCCACACACGCTATAGAGAAGCTGAAAGAACGCAAAAAAAAAAAAAAAAAGGATGTCCCACGAACTGTTTTAGGTGTGCACAGCATACAGGTTTCCAAAAAACGCCACAGCAGCTCCGCTTCTTACCTGCTTCACGAGTTCGTGTTTCACACTGCCGTCACACTGCAGCCCAGAGCTCACGTTCAGTGAGCGAAATCACAGTCAAACGAGTAAATGAAGATAAAGATGAAACATTTCTCAACCCTGTCCAGTGTCAAAAAAAAGCTTAAAAATCTAAATGTACAAATTCAGCCTTAAAATGGTTTAGTGCAAATATGAAAATTAACAGCATAATTTTAAAGTATTTAAATAAGCTTTAATATAACTATAGTGCTTCATTCCTATACATGTCTTCCCCTCAACAGATGCAACAGCACGGGGGCATTTCTTGTTAAGAGTGGGAACAAACCCAGAACCTGGGAAGAAATAGCATAAAGTCATTTGTTAAATCATTTATTTATATTTCACTTAAGTTTAATAAAGGGAGATAGGGTATTTATTAGCGGAGGAGCAAAATATTCATCCATGTACTGATTCTGGAGTGGATGGGCAAGGGGAATGGGAGCGAGGGGGTCAAGAAACGCTGTCCCTTTTCCTGACATTCAGCACACAAATGCTGGTGGTATAAATCGTCCGATTAGCACGCACAGACAGTCTATCCTCCCGGCCGCACGTCGCATTAGAAGGTCTCGTCGTCATTGCAGTCGGCCGTCCAGTGCCCGAACATCTCGCAGGTATCGCAGTAGGGGCGTTCTTCTCGCCTGCTGCCGTGGTAAGCCGAGTGGGGTGGCTCCTCCAGCATCTGTGCCTGCGTCGGACAATCTTCAGTGTCATGAAGATCAAAGCAGCCGCAGATATCACAGAAGAGACGAGGTTTCTTCTTTGACAGGCTTTCTTCCTCACTGCAAGATCAGCACCAGGGCAAGTCAAGCAGGGTACTTCTCCTTCATAAAGGAGAAAGGCCTGCTTCCCTGCCCTGCACGATAACCTGCCTCATAACCATTGAGACTAAGGAAGCACCACAGCGGTCAACAAAACCAAAAAAACTATTACAAAATCCCTTCTGAAGATCTTCTGACATCTTGACTACCTTGCAGTACACTCCATATTCCCTTATACTATAATATTTACTAAACAAACTGCTCTGTTTGTATAAATATTTGCACAAATACAGACATTATTTAAAAAAGAAACACATGTAAACTAGTTTCTCTTTTCTCTTGATAGAAGAGATCTGGAGTCACAATATATCAAAGAAGTTTTAGTTCTCTTTCTCCAGACTGGATCTCCCCGTCTCAATGCAGCTATCGGCCTCCTGAGAGCAAAGACTCTTCTACTTAATTTGGGAAGGGCCAAACTCAACCAAGACTGACAACAACTATGTTATGATACATCAGTGTTTGTGATCGATAACTACAGAGGGTCATTTTGCACCACCAGGTACACCGTAGCGAAGGACCTAAAAAGAAGGCTGGATTCAATCACCCTAAATTCAAGAGAAAGCTACGTTTGTCCTTCCTGACAGCTGAAATCAGGCTGGCGCATTGTGCGGCTGACAGAAAGGACTGCTACCAACAGCCCCCAAAACACAAGCCAAGGTTTCCTTTAGGATTTATACCTGTCATAGTTATTTATCTCCTCTTCGTTGCCATTGAGGGCTGCTTCACACATTCTTTGTATTTTCAAGTTCAATTCTTCGTTTCTTCTTTGCAGATCTACTATCACTGAATTCAGGAAGTCAATCTATGATAGTCAAGAACAAGGACAGTCAGCGGGCTGAGGACTGCGCTTCAGAGAAAGCGAGCAACAAAGGAACGGCCCTCAAACTGACACACGCAGATCTGCATTAACTCTTACCGTTGGATTGTTGTATTACAAAGAGCACCTGTGGACACTGAAAGAACAAGGGATAAGAACTTCCCAAAGGACCTCCGAGACCCTCGGTATGATTTATGTCCAGGGAGCTAGGTAATTCTGCCCAGCCAACACGTCTGACAGACATCGGTGGGTCTCAGCCCACCACTGATAGATCGAGTTCTTTTTCTAATGTTACATTTTGAACGTAAATCCAGTTGTGTAATTCTGATCAGAATGGCGTCTCTGTTCCTCTGACCCTGCAGCTCTAGCAGATACTCTCAGAGCTATCCTGGAGGGGCAGCGGGACAGCGCAGCGCACCCGTACGGCATCTCCCAAAGCTAGTTTGAGCCACAGAGATCAGCAGGCCAGCACTGCAGCAGCACCGCTGAATATAATCAAGTAATGCTTGGCAAATTAACATAGTGAATAAAATAAAGGAAGCCAAGAAGTGGAACAAACCTCGTGCTGATTGGAAGGAAGCGTTCCCATCAGCAGGTGAGTTCAAGGAGGAAGAAAAACAGAAAAAGATTGGTGGTTAGTGTATGTTAATTGCACTACTTCTGATCTTTGTACAGGCTAGGAAGGAGATTTTTTTAATCAACAGGACTGACACCACTGATCTAACAAGGACTTTTATAACGAGCAGAAGGTGCTTCTATTCTAACTGTGTTTCCTAGGCATTCGTTGTCACAGGCCGCCTGTTGCACGGCAGCGCTTCGCATGTTCATTATGATGATCATACTCTCTGATACACATTTTTCCTGTTACCAAGCACATGCTAACTGAGCAACTTCCTTGCCCCCTTGCTGCCAACCCTCATTCTGAGTAAAGTTCTGCAGTTAAGAAGAAGCAAAGATCAACATTTTCAACTGCAGAAGCTTAGAAGTAGCATGGGAGCTCAGGTAACCCGTTTCTCCAAGATGGCAAGCACCACAGATTCAGGCGGGCCGTACCTTATTCCTTGTTGGCATCCGAGAAACCTTTGGGAAGAACAGCAAGGAGCAGTTTATGAGTGTGCTCTGCTGTGCTGTACCTCACCAACAGACTGCAGGTCAAAACTTGCCACCCCTGCTTTCCTGCTTGCTTCTTCATGTTCCAACAACCTGAACTATTTCTCCAGTATCACTCATCACTTGATTCTTAATATTTACTGTCATTAATATTTCCCTTCAGAAGCAGAAGGTTACAAGATAAATCTGCCCATTATAATCCTGATTTACAAAATCTGATGGAACTTCTGAAAAATATTTCACTCTGCCTATAGACACACTGCTGTTTTAGCATGCTGATGTTTCTGATCAAATACCTGCTTCTCTTTTGCAATTTCATCTTGAAGTAGATTAGCAGCAATGTCACCTTTAAAGAAGAAAACCAACAAAAACAAACAAGGTATAAGTATTCAGTAATCTAAATTATGAAACATACAATGGCTTAGTCAGAGATTGAAACAATGTAATAGTCTCTAGTCTCCAAACCATCTTATTCTCACTGCTTTCTAATCACTCAGTATAAGCTTCGGCAAGGGTGACTTCTTTGGGGAATTTTTTTGACCACTGCATTATGGAAGCATATTCAATACTGCATGTTACTTATTAAAATACCAAAAATGTATGTATAGGTGACAGCTAACATTCACAGATCTGCAAAGGAACGCTCCTCTGTTGAGAGATGAGACTATAGTGGTAGGAAGCTTAAGAAGCTCAGCATAAGGTAAGCATGAGTGTCTGAAATGTGGGATTCCCAGTCCTGTGCTCAGGTAGGTGGTTTTGTTACAATGCCTACACATTACTTTGCAGCTACAGCAAGGAAAAACAAAATCAGACTGAGAGAGGCTCTTGCACAGAAGCCCCACCACAAACAGGATAAAGTTTTATGGTTTATGCATGTTTCATTTCAAGTCAAATTGTCCCCCACCCCGGTGTAAACGGGGTTAACTGGCAACGTCGGTGGCGTTCATATTTTGCAGCTGGTCAGATTTCCCTCATTCAGATCTTACTGTGTTCTACAACGGGAAGGACACTTGTCACAGGAGGTTCAATTAGTTAAACCTCCTTTTAACTATCTGGTTAACAGTTGCAAAAATCTACAAGATTAAAGCTGAAGGCACAGAGACAGTAAAGAGGCGCTTTCTTTTACCTGAGGAGCTAGTTACAGTTAAAGGCTGTTCGTTGTTTTCCTTGAGTTTTTGCTCCAAGTTCTTCACCTTTTCCTCAAGTTTCAATTTGTCAGACTCCAGTGACTTAACCACTGACTGCAAGGTTTTTGCAGAAGCGTTTTCTCCGCGGAGCACCACGATCTGTAAGATTTCAGAATGCTTAGGCCTTCCAGAATGAAGTAGCAAGGGCTAAATAGCCACCAAAAATACACGCCAGAAGTCACCTAACCAGGCACAGATTCTAAAGATTTAATTCTAAGGTTTAACTATGCTAAATTAATAAAGAAAAACAATTAGCCAACTCTTCAGCAGCAAGCATACAAAGCCGTATGCTTCTAGCCATAACTTAATCCGAAATTAAGAAGCACCCGACTGTTCCTCATTTACCTCATTTCTGAGTTTTTCCAGTTCCTCATCTTTTTGTGTGATCAAGGCACTAGTAACACTGATGGATTTTTGTAAAGATGCTCTCTCTTCATCAATTTCTTTTTTTAATGTTGATTCTCTAAAAGAAAACCAAACACAACCAGAAATCATCTAAAGAATAGATTACTGTAGTCACCTAAAGAAGTTTTATTTAATTTCAAGTATTAGACTACTGTAAGAAGTGGTTCTTAAAAAGCCAATTTCAATTCTGTACTTGACTGAGGTTTTATATATGTATAAACATTTCAGATGTTACAACTGCAGAAACAAAGCAAAAACTTTACCTAGGTAGTACATGCCAGAATCTGCATATCATCGTATCCATTTGAATTTAAAGAAGCAAGTTAATAGACTGGGAAGATACAGGATAAACAAACATGTTGCACAATGTTCCACAAAACCTAACTTCAGCGTTTTGTTACTTCT